AACGCCACCTCAATTTAGGGGGTAAATCAGACCTACCAAAAAAGTAACCGCAGATCTACCAAAAACGTAACTTTTGCTTATAAACCCATTCCCAACAGCTCTTAGTAAAAAGTTGTATATTATGTGCTGATTTTTTATATGGGGTTTTTGCCTTGAAAATCACGTTATGGAACATATGATTTACTATGTCCCATAACATGATTTTCAAGGCAAAGACCCCATATATTCCTCCAACTGCAGGGACGATGATTTTCTGCGGTGACAAAATGCCAATTCCGTCCGTGATAAAAGATGATTCTGCAAAAATTCCGCGATTGGCCAGAATTATAATCCGCAAATTCTGGCCAAATTAATGTCAGCCAGCATTATGATGACTTTGCTCCAAATACATTTCTACCAATCAAATGCATGATTTTGATCACATGATCTTATATAAAGGGTATTTTTTTTTAAAAAACGCGTTCACAGGCTATCAGTGTTTCGGTCTGAAAAAGACTGGCGTATCAAGGGTGTCTTCAGTGAACATTAGTGAATGGTTGCGTGGCGACGCTTGCATTCTAGTGCTTCGTTGAAAAAGATGGATTTGGCGAATGGTCCGCCTCATTGCCACCGCGTAACGGTCTGCGTGGATATTTCTGCCGTGTTTCGATGTTCATAATCGGTGTACTTAAGTGTCTATCGTTGGACAGTTGTGTGGCTAATAATGTATCGTTGAAAAGGTTGTTATGATCAGCCGGCTCACTTATTTGAATGGTCCGCTGTTCTGCAACCACTCAACGACACTTCAGTTATGTCTTCAGCATCAAGCTAGGTGCATTGTCATATTATATATTCTCTCTTAATATTTTTATTATTGGACATTTCACGGTATGTTTTGTTTATTTGTTACAATTTTAAAAACACAATATCAGACTTCTAATTATTAAAAATTAATATTAAAAGGGAGGCTCAATCCCCATATCACAGGTAATGTAATCTCGTGTACTTTGCAAGCATGTAAAAAAAATGAAAATACTCACTTATCTCTTTCTTGAAACTTTGTATATTGATAGAACCACTTGAAAAGATTAGTTAAACTTAATAAAAAAAAAGTCTTTAAATTTAAATACATATATAGGTAATGATAATCTTTAGTAACAAAATCGCTTCCTAACTAGTATATAGTTTAATGGCAAAATAAAGAATGAATATATATATAAATTAAAAAGAGCTGTCAACTATCAATAAAGGTAATACACATACACATAAATGAGTATGAACAGTATAAAAGCAAAAACTAACTATAGAACATAGCATGTAATCGTATGTATTCTATGTATACTATATATCTAATATATTGTAGTTTTTAAAAACTTGGTCGAATGACCTATATTCAGAAAAAATGTTGAACAACTAACTGTAAGTATTGTTGCTTCAATCGCTATATTCAAGTTTTTTAAATAAAAACTTAACACTTATTAACCATGGTACAAATTACCTTGCTAATTGCTAAATTACTTTAACCTATAAGACAAAAAGTGCACCTGTCACTAACTTTTGAATTATTTCTCCGTTTTCTGAATTATTTTTACTGTAGGTAGAATAGAAGGTGTAGTTTCAAATTTTATATGCTGTATTCTTTGACAATTTACTGCCAATTCATTTAAATTCAGATGATATATGTGGTATAATATGTGATGATACATTTAGTGATTGACCAATCAGAATTAAAGCCTATATTCTATTCATAAATCATGGGATTCGTGCCAATAAAAATCAATAGCCTTAGTACAATAAAAATAGTTTCAAAAAAAGCCACAAATTTTAATTTTTATTCAAAAATCTCTAGTTTAAAGAATTATAAGCACAACCTTAATTCAGATTAATAGAAATCAGAACATTTTACAGTAAATTCCAGGCTTGTAATATTTTAATTATATAATCGTATACATTTAACTTATAATTGATACATTTAAACAAGACATCTATTTTACGAACTCTAGGTTTCAAACTAATGCAAGTGTTAATTTATATCTTATTTTATTTTATACTAAAAAATGGTTTATTAACTTTGAAGAATATCTTCTACAGACCATTTTTCATTTTCAACATCATTTTGCCATATCATCGAATAATCACCAACCTCGATAATTAACCGCTCTTGATCTCTCTTAAATGCCTCAAAATCGAAAAATTCCTCCATAATAGACTCCTCTTCATCATCGATACTAATTATATCAATTTGTTCATTGATTTCATCTTCATTTTGATCATTATAGTTCTCTTCATCTTGGTTTTCATCAAAAAATAAACCAATATTTTCTTTGAAAGATTCAGGTGCCGAAATAGACCTTAGCTTATTTTTGTTCTTTTTTGTTTGAGAGACATGTTTTTTAAGTTCAATTTTTATTTGTCCAAGCTTAGAAAGAGTATTGAGAGAAAGACAGTTCCTTGATTTGGTTTTAGTGAGGCCCAAAGAAGAAAAAAGTTGTTCGCAAGCAGCTCCATGAGGAACAATGGCGAGAACTTTTATAGCAAATCGGCGAAGAAGGGTGAATTACTAGTAAATTTTGACCAGAAGAGCCTAGGCGATTGTTGGGGATTGTAGTTAATATGATGAAAAGAAGGATTGTTGTTTTTGTAATTAAGTAATTCTTTATAAAGTAGAGCTGTGTCTGGTTTAGTGAATTTCCAGTATTTAGCCAATTCTAAGCATTCACACAGAAGGCTGTTTTCATTCATATACTCTATATTTTTGTATGTTGGAAAAAGGAATAAGGCGATAAAATAAATATCTCTAGAAAATTCCTTTGCTCTTTTGCTAATAACGGCTAGTGTATGAGCTTTGAATCCAGGGATTGGAACGTCGAGCTTGGATATTTCAAGATGAATATAAATCAATTCTTTGAAAATATCAGCCAAAGTAGCATCTCGTAATTCAAGTCTTCTGATCACATCAACTACAGGCTTAATGACATTCACCAGTGTATCATTATTGGCAAAATGATATCTATCATTGATAATAGCTTTAATATTTTCTTTTATTTCCAGGTAGTTGATCTTGTCAGATTCACTTAACTCAAGGCAATGCAGAAAGCCCCGTTCAAAAGCAGATACACCCAAGCAGACCTTGGCTATAGAATACCACCTTGTTTCACAAAATGTACTTAAGAAATGAGAGATACCCTGTTCTTTTTGCCAAATTCTTAAGACCCGTTGCCATATATACGAAGCTGTAAAAAAATTTACAAGCTTTTGATTCTTGCTACAAATAGAAACGATGCTGGTAAAACCAGCAATGTTTTTCACAATTAGGTTGAACGCGTGTAAGCAGCATCTAATAGGAATAATATTTGGGTGCTTATTCTATTAAGAAAAATATATATATATGTAAGTTGAAACTTAGATCTAAATTACTGTTTGAATAGAGGTGTGAGCGCAATGCTGTAATTTGTCGTAATTATAGCAAAAAATGCTGTAATTCATTATAATTACAACAAATTACAGTATTACGCTTATGTCTCTATATTTGAAAAAGTAGACAAATATTTTTACATTTTGAAGATTTTTCATAAATTCCATAATAGATGGATTGTCAGTAATATACGCAATTGCAGATGACATTTGAAATCCATTTCTAGCCAAAACTTCTTTAGTCTGACTCATAATAAATGATGCTTTGTGTCGGTTTACAGATAAGTCAACTATGTTTATTACATACTCTTTATCTTCCTTAAGAATCATAAACCCATAAATTGAATTTCCAGACACATCTGTCCAGCCATCTAGACAGATAGTAGCATTGGTAAAGGTTGTCATAAATATTATTTTTTTTTGGAGATAGTTAGAGAACGTTTTTGTTAATATACGTCCTCGTAACATATCACTAGAGGGGGGCTGGTAACTGGGGGCCGCTTCAAGAAGGAAAGCTTGAAAATATGGATTTTCGATGAAGTTAAAAGGAATATTACCAGATATAAGTGTGTCTAAGAGTTTCGAGTGAAGTTTTTCAGATTGTATAGGAGGTATAGGTTTAGTATACCAATTTAAAATGCTTTCTTGTCTTGGAGGTTGTACAAGTGATTCAGTAGTATTTGTTTCAATTAATTCTAATTCTTCTGGATTAGATTTGGCTCGCTTACGGGTAGGGATTGTCTCCTCAGAAACTTTTTGAAGGTAGTTAGCTTTTTCAGAAGCTGGCCAGCTACTGCATTTGAGGACGTGTTGGTGAAGCCTTTTGGGTTTGCCTTCTTGTTCAACCAAGCAATATTTGCATTTAGCAGTGAACCTATTGCCTGTTTTTTTGTCTATAGAATGATAAAATCCCGTCCATCGATGATCTTGGTTTTGAAGTGGATGAGTGAAACCTGTCGGAGGCTGCATAATTCGTAGTTAATTTATTTGCAATTGGGAAAGAAAAAACGATATAAATTTATATTTGTAATTATTATAATTATTATTTGATTTTTGATTTTTTTACTTGAAAAGTTGTGAGATTTAATCTCTTTTTATAATTTTAGATATATTAGATGGATAATAATTTTCATCATGCTATTTATGCCTTTTACCACATTTACTATCTTCAATAAAGAAGTATTTTAAGTATCTTATTTGTGATGAGGCATTTGATCTAAACTTTTAATAACTATTTCTTTTCTAACTTTGAAATTTTTTATAACGTAATTACTATATTTAATACAAAGTATTTTTATTTTATTTACATCGATACATTTGATCTAACTTCTAATAACTTCTTTTTTTTTAATTTTGTTAGAATATTTTTTTCAATATCAACTCATTAGTTTTACATGTGAGTTTATTGTTCTTTGAACAAGGTCCTGAAAGTTCTGAAGTACAGGCATAATTATCGGCCAAATTGATGCTGCAGACAGTAAATGGCTGAGTGATTAGAATAGCCACAATAGTGCCTGCGTTTGCAGGAGTAATTCTTCTTTTGGTTACTCTTGCATTTAATTTTTAACTTATCATTTAAAGATTTTTCTTTTTTTAGATGATATTATTTTTAACAAAAAGTGATTATGCAATTATTTAAGTCCCTATATGGTTAGTACCTTAACCAGATATAGTATGAGCTATCCAAGAACATCAAAAATCTTACATACAAGCATAATTCATAGAAATAATCCTGGATAATAACAAAATCGGTTAGTTGATTTCTTTTCAAAGTTTTATGTATAATGTTGTATAAATTCGAAGTTTTTCATATATTATAATATGCATACAGCTGTGACTTTGCATAATGAAAAATAATGTTAATACTAATTTTACCGACTTAATGATATAACAAATATTTAATGATGATAGTAAGGAAGAATGATAATTTTAACGATTGGTGATTGTGCGTTATTTCAAGTGCACCTATGGGCATTATTTTGAAATAACAGATCGATTTTTTCAGTTTCTGCAATGATAATGCTCGAGTCTTTTTTATTGTATTAGTCAATCTTACGATTGTCTTATAAAATTGTCTGCATGTGAAGGTCTTTATGATTATCATGTGCGAGTATTTATTATAAAAATTAAAAAGTAATGTATGAGCAGAATTATTACTAAAGTATGCGTTATTTCAGAGCACGTATGAGCATTATTTAAAAACCAAATATGCAGTGCTATAATTCGCGTGAAATAAATTTTGAACAAATTCTTGGTAATCAATTTTTTATCAAACGCAAATGCTTTTTTTTGTCAACAAAAATCAATAAAGTATCACTAAATTCTATAATTTCTGAACTCAAAATTTCGTTCCATGTGAGGTTATCTTGCATTATGCGAAGATCATATTATATGCGAAGTATATGCTAGATTTATCGCGTGAGAGGTAAGTTAAAGCATATAACCCAATAACAGTATTTGAATTTAGCCAATCAGACTAAAAAATGGATAGACTAGCATAATCTTGATTGGTCAATCACTAAATGTATCGTCACATATTACACTGAATATATCATCTTACTTTAAATAAATTGGCAGCCATAAAAACGAATTGGCAAAGGATACAACATATAAATTCTGAAACTACACCTTTTATTCTACCTCTAGTAAAAATAATTTGAAGAATGGAGGAATATTTTAGAAGTTAGTGATGGTTTTGGTCTTATAGGTTAAGGTAATTTAGCAATCGTCAAGGTAATTCGTACCTTGGCTAATAAGTATTAAGCTTTTTGTTTTTTTATTAAGCTTAATCGGATATATATTTACAATGACTATCATGACCAATATATTAAAAACTATATGTTAAATTCAAATTTATATCTTTTTGTTTAATAATTTTTATTTCAAACTCATTTCTATTAGCCAATCAGATTTTATAATATTACCAAATAATTCACAAACATTAGCCAATCAGTATGAAAGCCTGCTATTGGGTTAGGGTTAGGGTTAGGGTTGGGGTTAGGGCTAAGTATGGGCATGCCCATGCCCCTATGCCCCGAACCCTAGTGTCAACACTAATAGTACACAGTCCAGCAGTCCTGAAACTATAACTTCCCGACATAGAAAATAAATGGATCTAAGTGTGCATGATCAAGTTAAAATTTTGATTGAAAGTTAATTGGTTGCAGAATATTCGAGGTTTCTATTATAACCAACTCAGTATTCATAGATTAGTATGCACTGGTGTTATATAAGTTATATAACCAACACAGGATTCAAAAATTTTTAATGCACGGAATTTTTGACGGAATCTCACCGCAGAAAATCATCCATCTACGTACTTATTTTGCTTTTAAACTTCATGCACGTGTCATATATTACTACCTTATTAGGAAGACTAGCTTCAATGAAACAATGAAAGTTTCAATCAATAATCAATGACATTGTTAAAAGCTAGAAAAGTCGAATTCAATTTTGCGTAACCATAATGATAAAATATTTTCTACTTATAGAATTGAGTTTCATCTTCACTTTCTCGAAATTACTCAATTTGGATACATATTTTTTAAGCCTAGATTAATTCTTGACTCAATTTTGCCATAATTGTTGATGAGCTGATAAGACAATCTCGTAACACACTGCACAGCCGTTGTATTAATTTACATATTTGAACTCCCGGATATTTCTTCAAACATTAATTCTTTTTGATACCTTGATCGAGACGAGAACAAACACCAGGCATGAGTAGACATTCATTTCCCGTTCTTTCCCAACAATTTCTTGTTGACGACAAATATCAGTTCGTTCGAGAGCTGGGACAGGGAGCGTATGGTGTTGTGTGGTAATAATTAAGGATTTTTACTTGTTTTCTTTATGAACACTATTGCTTGGTGCATTCTGTCCGATTTCAAAGGCCCATTGTTTTGGTAATAACTTTAGTGGATCTTAATATATTAAACGCCTCACGAGTAATTCACGTTCGCTTTGGCGATTATCCATTATATTACAACTCCGTTTATTTTACTTGGGTAATTTTGTTAATTTCAACATGGTGAGCTTATTTTTGGATTTTTATTGCAGCGCTGCACGTAATACGATTACAGGTGAAGGCGTTGCAATCAAAAAGGTTACCAATGTTTTCAATAAAACCATCTTAACAAAGCGTGCTCTTCGTGAAGTAAAGTTATTACAACACTTTAGAGGGCATAAAAATGTAAGCAAATATCGTGATATGCGTAATCTTTCATTTAATCATTAATTATTCCAACATTCACTTTATCCCGATAGATCACATGTCTGTATGATATGGATATAATCAATCCTAATGATTTTAATGAAATGTAAATAGGCTAATGTTTTTTTTTCGTTCCGAATGAAACCTATAAAACTTATAAAATAACTCATTTCAACTTTAATAAGATACCTCTATGAAGAATTAATGGAGGCTGATCTTCATGCGATTATTCGTTCGGGCCAACCACTTACGGATGCTCATTATCAAAGCTTCACTTATCAGATATTGTGCGGATTAAAATATATCCATTCAGCAAATGTATTACATCGAGATTTGAAGCCTGGTTTGTAATAAAAAGTTTAAAGTTATAATATTTAATAGAATTTATCAAACCGTTTGATAGATTTTTAATTTTCACAGGCAATCTTCTCGTGAATGCTGATTGTGAACTCAAGATTTGTGATTTTGGCCTTGCACGCGGTTTTTCAGAAGACCCAGGAGCAAATGCTGGTTTTATGACAGAATACGTTGCCACAAGGTGGTATAGAGCTCCTGAGATCATGCTCAGTTTTCAAAGTTACACCAAAGCTAGTGGGTATTTGCCATGTATTGCCATTTTGCGACTTATAATTTATTTAAATGTATCATACTTCTATCGAATTTTTAGTTGATCTATGGTCTGTAGGGTGTATCCTAGCCGAATTATTAGGTGGAAGGCCAATATTTAAAGGAAGAGATTGTATCCTTTTTTTTTTTTTTTAAAAAAAAAAAAAAAAATTCAAAATTTCTTCATATAAACAACTAAATTAATTAAATTTATCAATGTGGTTATAAGTTACGATTATAACCTTCTTTTCAATGTCATTTGCCCTTAATCAAAGCTTTAAATTGTCATTACTGTGTAGATGTTGACCAATTAAATCAAATTCTTCAAACTTTGGGAACCCCCAGCGAACTTACTTTATCAAGGATAGGGAGTTCAAGGGTAAATTACAATATACATCAAAATTAAAATATTATATTGATATTACTGAACTATTCTTTCTTTTAAGGCGCAAGAATATATTCGTAATTTACCTCGTATGCAGAAAAGACCATTTGCCAAAATATTTCCTAATGCAAATGCTTTAGGTGTGTGGTATGAAACCTTTAGGTCTATAATTTTTATATTCAATACTTACACTAACACTGTTGCTGATACTCATTTAATATTTTAATATATAGCGATTGATTTATTGGAACGTCTATTGACATTTGATCCTGCTCAACGTATAACTGTTGAAAAAGCATTAGACCATCCCTATTTGGCAGTGTGGCATGAACCTAACGACGAGGTTTATTGAATTTTTAAATGATTAGTTAATACTTGATATCATGTTTGTCTTAAAGTGATTAACATTTTATATGTTGATATTTATTACCATTATTGATATTAGCCTGGATGTGCTGAAACCTTTGATTTCTCATCGTTTGAGTCAGTGGATGATCCTCAGTTAATGAGAAGTATATAATTTACTAAACATTCTTCACTATCTTATTTGTTAATTTTTTTGAATATTTTACCAACTTTATTTTATATCATCTACGACCAGGAATGATCGTTGAGGAAGTGACCAATTTCCGTAATTCAGTACGACGTCATCAAGTACCCCATCTTAATCTCGCAACAAATAAACATAATTTATCCAAGATTCCTGACCGGGATACTATTCTAAATTCTCCCACCGCGGTTCGTGGCGATGTTGACGCGCTTGCCGCACATTATGTACAACCGGGACTTCATAAGGGTATCGGTATGAGCGAAGATCTTGAACGGGAGTTGAGCGGTAGAATGGAAATGTGAAACTTCCAGGAAAGTGCGTTATGCATTTTAATAGTTGTAAAAATTGAATTTTGGATTATTGACGAGATAAATACTTCAATACTCAAAACGTAACAATAGGTTATTTTTTTATTTATATTTTTAGTCTGTTGAATCGGCATTTTGTATTTTTTTTTGTGCGTTAAATGATTAAACATTTTAAGAGCCAGTGGCCAATATAATACGATGATCTATTATTCTAACCGTTAGTTAACTATTGAGAATTTGGAATGTTAATTATGTTAATACATAATATTTCTGTGTATTAATATATCAGATGCAATAAATTTTGATGATTACAATAATAAAAGGCTTTTTTACACTATCGTAGGCATCATAAAAATGACTTTAGTAAATATGTAATAGTTACTTCACGTTCTATCATAGATATCATTAAACATCACGGATCAATCGAGATATTATTTAGTATTGCGGCGCAGCCGCAATGATGAATGATATCGAGATTGATTCGGGATTTTGATGGCATCGATGACAAATACGTGTAATAAATATAGGGAACAGGTACCGTAGTGCACTGACCAAAGTACGTACGAAGTACCCGAGTATTTTGCATGGCACTTTTTTTCTTGCCAAGGGTATTTTATAATTATTAAGGCGGGATTTTTGTATAAGACCCGGGTATTTTATATTGCACAACATCTAATATGATAATATTACTGAATGAATACTATTATGGCACTTGTAAACAGTCAATATAGAATTATTGTACCAATTTTTGTAAAGTGAACCAAATTACCATTTCGTAATACTGTATAATTATATGAATATTTATTTTAAAGTTAAATGCTGAAGGGAAATATTTTCAACATTAGCCTTCCAAATCACCCAAAACCACCATTTAATACAAGTTAGATTACGTCTATTAATGATGATTTGTATGAAGGGTAAAAAACTGAGTTTGAAATGTTGTTAAATATTCTTAAAATGTTTCTATAAACTGTAAAAATCTTAAATATTTTAAATCTTGATTTTACAATAGTTTGATAAAATACCTAGATATTTGAATGATAATAAATTAAGATATAATCATTTAGGTATAACATACAGTCAAAGTCATAAGTATCCCCACCCTGTTAACTTTTTAAATAAAAAAGCTACAATCTTGAAACTTCTACAGTAAATAATATTCAATAAATGCTGATCAGTGATATTTATTATAATTTTTTAATCACTACAACAAAAGTTAGATGAGAGCCAAAATTTAAAGCAATTTTTTGATCAAAATAATTGAATTCAATTAAAATCAATAAAAAATCAGAATTATGTTCAAAAATTTTAAAACTTCAGTATGCTAAAGTTCAATCATTTTTATAGTTATGCCAAAAAAATTTGAGTTAATTTGATGAGATAGTTGCTAAGAAATTAATTTTTGATGCTGTTTTGTATGTATGTTCAAAAAAGGGCTATGCAACTAGGTTTTTCTAATTTTAATATAGAAATTAAATTAATTTCTATATATATATATATATATTTTTTTTTTTTTTGTAAGTGTCCAGAGACTAGAGTTTATTGATATTTTGGATGTTTAGATCAATTGACCTGGTACAAATTGTATTTACAGTGACAAATTTAATCTAACTAGTCTATACTTGATATATTATGTAACCCTAGTACCTTTATATTTAGAACTACTATCTACTTTATCTATTATCAGTAAACTTTTAGCCCAAACCTTCTTTCTTATCTAAGATGGATGTAGACTGCATATACCCACCCCAACTCTTCTGTGTTTCATACACTCCAGATTAGGTATTAGAGATATTATGCTTTTAAATCTAAATTAGTACTTGAGTGTTATCTTCTCCCTTATAGAGTTCACATTCACCTCGATGCCCACTTTACTTCCCTTTTAGGTTCTTCTCCCTGGCTTAATATTCAATTCCAGTTAGTTAGCCTGAAATGAGATCGGTTTATCCCAGCTTTATATGCTCTTGGACTCCAAACTCCTGATATATAATTTCATAATACATATTTTTTTTCTTTGGTGTGACTCCAGTGGCCACCTTGATCAACCCCTCACCTCAAGAGGTCCAGTCCGAACAATACCCCAGGACCAGTGCTATCCAAGTTTCATTCTGCAGCATTATTGAAAGCTTCTATTATATCTCTACTTGGGTTCTTCCAAACGGGTTTTTGGTTATCCCAGCTGTCTAGGATTTACATAGCATTGACTTATCATAAAGTTTGTACCTAATAATTACTGAAATGCATTTCTTTGTGTAACTTGTACACAGATGCAGGGCCTACACTCTACTACTTTGCGATAGCTCACTTCTCATTTGAGAATAGTGTTACCTAAGATTACAGATTATAGATCCAAACCATTTTTAGAATAATCATTAACCATAATACAGCCCAGTATTTGAAATTGTTATCTGTGAGATTTGAACACTAGACCTGCTGCTTGGTGGGTGATAACTAAACCACTTTACTAAGCTGCCACACCCCAATTAATTTCTATATTAAAATTAAAAAAACCTAATTGCACAGCCCCTTTTTTGAATATACATATAAAACAGCTTCAAAAATTAATTTCTCAACAACTATCTTATCAAATTAACTCAAATTTTTTGTCAAAGCTATAAAATAATTAAATTTTAACATATTAGAGTTTTAAAATTTTCGAACATAATTCTGATTTATTATTGATTTTTAATTGAATTTAATTATTTTGATTAAAAAATTGCTTTAAATTTTGGCTTTCATCTAACTTTTGTTGTAGTGATTAAAAAATTATAAAAAAAAATCACTGATCAGCATTTATTTAATATTATTTACTGTAGAAGTTTCAAGATTATAGCTTTTTATTTAAAAAGTTACAGGGTGAGGATACTTATGACTATAACTGTAATTTAGTAAACTATATAATTAAGTATAACAAGGTACAAAAAAAAAAAAATTAGTTCTTTTTTTTTATTGCTTACAATTCTATATTAAAATTTAACTGTGAATTTCTAGATTTTATTTCATTAATTTTAATCTTAAATGATTATTAAATCTTCACTTTCTTTATAATAATTATTATAAACTAACCTACTTTTATTTTTATTAATATCTTTTCTATTTATATTTTTATTATTATTTTCACTATCATTTTTACTATTAATATTTTTATTTTTGTTATTTTATAGTAGAAAAGCACCGGTACCCAAAACATTACATAAAAAATCTTGAAAAAAACTTCTATATTAGTAAAGAAAAATAGAATTAAAAAAACAGAACGAAAAAAAATCTATCTAAAGATGTCAATAACAAAAAATATACTAAATAAACAAAGCATGACTAGAGATCTGATTTGGTCAAAAAATAAGTATTTGAATATTTATTAGCAAATTTCAAATGAATATTTGAATATTCACTAATAATTACAAAAATAAAGTTGTTAATTTAGAAAATATTATGAAGTTGAATAATTGAGAGTTTAAATATACAAGCTAACAAATAAATTTTATATCTACAAGCTATATTAAAATAATAAATTGATAGAGTAACTTTTACTAATAAGAATTTAACTTGCTTATTTACTTTTATTTAAATTGTCGATTAGATAGTATAGTGAAAAATTTTTATATTTGAATATTCAATTCGGTGAAACAATTATATTTATTGAATATTCAAATATTCATTAAATATTCAAATTTATTTAATACTTCACTATGATCAGTTTATAAAATAAATCAATTATTTTATGGTATTTTTAAATGATAAAATA